TGTTACTATTCAAAGCTGATTTCGACGGCAAAAATTCTCTCGGTCACTACCATTTGAACATCTAGTCTCCTCTCTATAAAACTCCTTTCAGTTTGGCTCCTAATTTCTTGTCGATTGCTGGCCACCGTAAAGATAGAGTTTCATATTCTTAACTGATTTTCGGCAACGAATATTCATTCAGTCATCAATATTCGATCCACCAATCTCCCACTCTACAAAACTCCTCTCACGCTGACTCTTGGTAACTCGTCGAACGTTGGTTGAGAAAGTGAAATGCATTTTAGATATTAACGAAATATAAACTTTAGGTGAGAAAGTGATACTTTGAAACTTTTTAGGGGTGGGAAAGTGTCCTTATAAGGCAAACCTTGCAAGGGTGGGAAAAAGTTGTTTACTTTTCAAGAAAGTACTTAAATTATTAGAGAAAGTAATATAAACATAGTAGCTATTTAATTCATTAAATGATAGATTATTAAAAGGTAAAGGCGAATCCAATGTTGAACTCCATTAGAATTTAGAAGCTTCTTGTAGTAGATCTCTTCTATACTTAGAAAACTTCAGTTGCTTAGTCTAAACTAAAAAGAGCTTGTGCATACCATTTTCAAGACAAACTGCATCTAATTAATGCTTGAAAGACAAGGACCTCCAAGTTTTCAGTCATATTAGTTTATCTAAGCTTCCCTTCTCAAGTAATCGATCAACCTTATTACCTTGTCTTTGATCTTGACCAATCATAATTTTATTATAATGTCTTTGCCCCTCTTTGTCTTCATTCTTATTCTTTCGTTTCAGCCGTCCAACTGTTTGATCTTGATCACTTTGTTTAGCAATCCCAATCAATTCTACATCCATGATTGTTTAATTAATTAATCCATCTCTTTGTCTAAAGTCTCCAAACTACTTACTTAATAAACACATCTTTCTGCGCTTCTAGATGTTGACACACTCCATACAAATCTAACCTTCCTGCAAATAGTATAAAGAATGCAGACTTCTGTCCCGCAGTTTCGAGCTATACACTTGTAATTTATTCATGTAGCTATGACTTTGTCTCATGTTTAGGTAAGTCTTTCATGTTTTGAAATCTTATACCTACTCGGCTATTTTGAAAGATTCTCACGTTAGAACAGTGCCTAAGAAGTCAATTTTTTATTTGTTTTATGATATGATCTTTATGGTTATAAATATAATAGTGCCATTACTGCTAATTTCCTCTTTCTGGGTAATTTTTGTTTATTACTTATCTAGAAGGGAGATATTTATAAATTATAATATCATTAAGAGATAACATCACCAGAACTCTACCAATTAACTGAAGTAGGACAGAAACACTCGGGAAAAAAATAGAGTTTTCTGATCATGACCCCATTTATTGTATAAATATATATAAAACTCAGTAAGCAACTAAGGATTTCATTTAAACGAATTGATTATCAATAAAAGTATAAATCAACTATCGGTTTGAAAGCATACATTTATATTTTTTAAAAGATCACAATCTTGAGCGTTTCAGGTTATTGTTTTACAGTGACGAGATCAAGTTTCAATTATAATATATGAATTATTGCAGCATATATAGTAAAAATATTCCTTTTCGAAGCAAAAGTTATGAGTGGCCCATGTTTGGTGATTCAGGTAATATTTTCAATATGAACACACCTGCATTATTTGAATCAATCACAAGATTTAAAAGCATGAACAGAGACTCTCCAGAAAAATTCATAGTTTTATTATTATATTGGTAGGAAGGAAAAAGACTTTGTCAAGTAATAGTTGCAGATCGATCAATTATTATTCCATTCACATCACATGTGCACTTATAATGATCCTTTTCACTGTAATTAATATGCCTTCATTGTTGTCAAACTAAGAGTTCTCTTTGTTTGAAAAACATGCAAATACAACAGAATCCAATGAAGACGGCAAGATTCATTACATATTTACACTTGTTTGTTTGATTCAAAGTTCAAACCCTTCGATAAAATACTTTGAAATTGAATGAACTAGATTGGACAACATAAGACAATAGTAGATAGGGAAATGAAAGGACTCAAGTCAGAAGGTGGGGTGCTGATAAGATGCGGCTTAATTACTTGAAATTAAGTATAGTTGATTAATGGTAGTTAGTAAGATTCGTGAAGATTTTCTCTTTATAAACAAAACCTACAACTCAACGTCAATCACGCAAACATGTTACCATTAATATATATCCACATAATCGTCATGGTGGACCCTTTTTAATTACAATCTTATTAATTTCAAATTTAAAACATCCATCCATCTTTCACTTGAAACAACTGCTTCATGTTAGGTTTCATTTTTCTGAACTAACCCCTTTGTCCTATTCTCTTTGAGTTCAAGCATCAACACTCCATCCAATTATATGTTGTCTGACACGTATCTCATATGTTTCCTTTTATTATCCATAGATCCATTAGGTATATTTAAATTGTCAGAATTATCATAATCTCCTTCTCCTAAAACAGATTAAATACATAATTTATCAATTTTTTTTTTTTTTTTTTTAATCTAGAAATCTCCATCCGAGTTCAAATCTGGAACCCCACAAAACCGTACTATCATTGAAAAACAATTAAATATGACTTTTTTAGTAATGCAAATCCCCGTGAAGGGCACATAACACAGTTAATCAAATATTATGTGATAGAAAACTTTTTTTATCAATTTAATTATAAATATTTTAGCGTTTCCAATGGGTATTATCTTAATTTTCTTGTCTGTTTGTGCCTAGATCTCTATGTACGAGTGTATATATAAACTGATACGGAGTATTAGAAAAGGCCTTGCTTAGTTTGCTTGCTTTGGATTATTCGTGATTCTTCTTTGCTTTCTTTTCTCTTTCGGAATTTTCTCAACCAACTCTTCTTTCCTGTAAATCAATCAAAACCCTTCTTCACTCTCTCTCTATATATATACAACTCAGAACATAAGTAATCACAGATATTCTCACTGATTTTCCCTAAGACTTCTATAATTTTCCTTTCTCAACTGCTAAAAATGGCCGACATAGATCATTACCAAACGAAACCAAATAACCCAACTAGCTTAAAGCTCTTCGGTTTCAACCTTTCATCAGAAGAAGATCATGACATTAGTAACAAAACTCGTCAGATTGATCATGATCAATCTCTTGAATTCAACGACTTTTCTTTTCCATCCAACGATAACAATAATTTAATGACTCGTAAATACGAGTGTCAATATTGTTGTCGCGAATTTGCAAATTCTCAAGCGTTGGGTGGCCATCAAAACGCGCACAAGAAAGAGAGGCAGCTCTTAAAGCGTGCACAAATGCAAGCCACTCGGAATCTTGTGGTGTCTTCGGTGCATTTCCAGGACCCCATGTTACGGCCCTACACGTCACTCCCCCGCCTGCTTGCTCCGGCACCGGTGGCAACTCCTCCTCCGCCGCCGCCTCAGTATCATTCCTCGTCGTTTTATGTGTTGCATGGGAACAGCACTGTAGTGTCGCCATTGCTGGTGCCTCGTCAATATGGTAGTGCTTATAATAATCCTTGTAATAGGAAAAACTCTGGCTTGGGAAGGCGGCGCGTCGGGGAGGATGTGAAAGTGGTGACGCCGACTCCTCCGGTGCCGGCGGTCAATGATAGGTCTAGGGGTTTAGCGTTGGATTTGCATCTGGGTCTTGGGCCGGCTGTGCCTTAAATTTTTAATCACAAAGTCAAATTAATGGAGAGTGTTGGTGCATGTAAAATCTTTCCGATTTCTAACTTTTTGTTAATTAAATGGTTAACCTCTTTTCAATTTTCTGGAGAGCAAATTAATTTTACATGTTGATTAATTAGTTATAATCCGACTCTATTACAAATTTAGAATGGTGAAATAGATGATTTAATGCTTTTGTACTCCTCTACTTCTAACTAAATTATTGAACTACTTTTGGATGGTCAAGTGATTTGATAGGAACTTTTAGATTATTACTCAAGAGGTTCTGAGTTCGAATCCCTCCTCAGTTGCTAATAAAGGTAACTATTAAAGCTCTTTCCTAACTAGTAGTTTCAGAATCCTAAGAGATTAGTTAAAGTGCATATAAATTAGTCTGGACATCTCTACTATAAAAATAATAATAATAATAATAATAATAAAATATTGCAAGTATACCGTGACTGGCAATTAACAAATATACTTGCATTGCATCATCACAAGAGTAAGTTCAAACTACACGTTAATTTTAATTAATAGTGACATAATATTATATATATAATTTAATTAGTTAATATTATAATCAATTCACATCTATAACATTCAGCTGAGTTATGTGGCATGAGAGCGCTAGCATCCATGAGAAAAATAATGCAAGTAAACGATGTTTTTTCATTTATATATTTTTAAAATACTATTTTATTATCCAAATTTATATTATATTTTTTATTTTGATCTAGTTGAGACCCCATACCACCACCATTTTCTTCCCTCGAGACCCCTCAAATCGTATTCCCACCTACCAACCAATCACCGGTAATTGAGCGATTAAGATTTGTATAACCGTTCCTCCCAAGTCAAATTTCAATCAATCTCAACCATCAAAATCCAACATTTCACAATCAAAAGACTTATCGACCTCTCATCTTCAAAAGTTTCAACAGCTTGGATCGAGTTTACTCTATGTTCGCACTAGAAATATAAATTTAGGTAATAAAATTGTATTTAAAAAGTTTATGGGTAGAAAAGTGTTATTTAATCATTATTTAGGTAGGAAAAAGTCGTTAACTCACAATATCAATTACCTTTACTAATTCTTTTATTTTTTTATTATGATAATAAACCTTATATTATTTATTAAGGTTTACATATAACATATGACAAAATTTGGTTTCTATAAAGTATTAGACCCTCAAATATGCATATTTTTCTTGTTATACTAATTTACTATCACATCAATATAACACGAAGATTAACATTATCAATAATATTTAACCAAATTTTATTTTATTTTTTTTTGGGTGGGTATCGGATGAAAGAAAAGTTAAAGCTCAAATCGGCCATATGAGTCGAAGAAATGAAGGCCCAATTTAAGCCCAGTAAAAAGATAGAAATTTTATCCTCCAAAGGATCCAAATATCCATGACACGATTGCACGAACAACCCAGAAACTCAAACTGAGCTCTGCAATACTTCGTCTTCGAATCAAAGTGGACGTCTTTTAAAACGAAAGAGGTCAGTTCTTTTTTTCATTCATTGAGTTATTGAGTTCATGATGTGGGTTTCTTTCTTATTTCTCATTTTCTACTCTAATTTGAATTTTTGCACTTCAGCTTTGTGTGTTATCATTACTGGGTTCAATGTGACATGATTTCTTTTTTAAGCATTTAATGGCATAAAAGTGTTTTTTTTTTAAATATATGTTATGTTCTCCAGGCTAGTTCCCCAATGTTTTATGGTTTGTTAGTTAGGCCTTGTAGCTTCAACCAAGTAATATAAGCTTGTTATTATCATTGTTTGGAGTAGTTCGCGAGTTTCCTCCTGGCCATATTCAATTTCGTAGAAGTTTTTGGAATGAAAAAAAATTATTGAGTTTCATTTTCTCAGTACGTTTCACAAACAATTGAACCATGCCTAACAAAACTACTTTGCTAAGTTAAATAATTTCTTTTTTTCCATTTTAAGAAGGGAAATTTCCATTCATTAAACCAAGGGTGTCTACCAGTAGTTAGCACAAATCTTAGAGAAGTTTAATGAAACTTATATATGGTTGTTTATATATTGTTATGTAACTTTCTTGTTAATAGTGTGTTCTTTCTGTAAACAGGTCAATGTTGAATGCAGTCTCTGCCCCTAACACTTGTATTTTCTGTCCAAGAATTCCTCAATTTCCTCAAAAGCGTCTAGTTTCAACAAAACTTTGTGTGCGTGCTTCGTTGCCAGATGAAAATGGTAGATTTAAGGTGGAGTACACACCTTGGTTGATTGTCGGTTTGGGTAACCCTGGGAATAAGTACCACGGAACCAGGCACAATGTAATTGACCAAAATCATTTAATATTTTAGCTCTTATTTCCCATTTCTGTTAGTGATTATCTGAGGTAGTCTGTATCAGGTTGGTTTTGAAATGATTGATCACATTGCTCAAGCCCAAGGAGTACTGATGAATACAGTTCAATCAAAGGCTTTAATTGGAATAGGTTCTCATTCAGTTGTATTTTTTTAGTTTCTCAGTTCCTCCTCCATATTTTCTTTTGACTATACTTTTTTGGCTGTTAAGATTCACTTGCTGTTCAGTTGTTTATTCAGATTCTTTGTATGATCAGTACAGGTTCCATTGGCGAAGTACCAATTTTATTGGCAAAACCTCAGGCATACATGAATTTCAGTGGGGAATCGGTGAGTTCTCATCTTTGAATTCCAGCTCTCCAATGAATTCCATGGTGACTAGATTGTTTTACTTGTGTAAATAGCAATTTGCAGAAGGGCTTAGGACTTGGACATTTGATTTGACTCTGCATGCTAGGTTATTCTATGCTTTAAGAATATTTTTAGGGCATCCATATTTCATTTGTGGTTGGTACTGAGGCATCTTTATGAGCGGGTTCGATCTGATTATAGGTTATCTCTGCCTATATACCACACACTGCTAATTCCCCAGAAAGTAATAAGAAATTATTACTTTTTTGAGAATTTACACCTCTTAAGTGGTAGGTACTAAGTTATTGAAGTATGTCTTGATGTTGATTTGGCATAATGATTATCATCTATTAAGTTTTCATTGTGGATGTTAAGTGATTCATATTTTTTACTCAAATTTTCCTGTGCTTTTCCTTGTCTGCTTTTTATAGGGCTTATAAGTGAATTTTTTTGTCATGATTTAGCTCTTGCTGCCTTATGATAGCCAGTTCTATTTGTAACTTTTTCTTTCTTTTGACTATTGTTAGGTTGGGCCACTTGCTGCTCATTATCAAGTACCCTTGCGTCATATTTTAGTGGTATGCATTATCAACCTCCAAGTTCTGTAAAAGAAATTAAATGGCTTTGTGCAGTTAGTACGGTGTTTTGACTTAATTTTTTCTGGGACTTGCCCTAGTAGATTTACGATGAGATGAGTCTGATGAATGGTGTTCTGCGACTCCAGCCAAAGGGAGGCCATGGCCATCACACTGGGTATATTATCTGAATATCAATTGTTACACATGTTTTACTAATGTTTATGCTGTGCCTGGTCCAGCTTTAATTTCCTGCATGAATGATACTGTCATAAAGATTGCTGTATTGTTCATGTGTCTAAGAAGCCCCTGCTCAAGATGATACTTTTCTACAATGATAAATTTTGTAAATATTGGTAATTACTACTCTCTTGTCTTACAGGATGAAAAGTGTTATGGGACATTTGGATGGTTGTCGTGACTTTCCCCGATTGTGTATAGGTTGGTTCATTGGTTACCATCACTTTTACAGGCCTCTCTTTTTAAAAAAACTGCTCCTTTGTTATTTCCTTTTTATCTGGTGATATTGAAGATTGTACTCCATGGTTTAAATTCAAAATTTTCCATGTCACAGGAATTGGAAATCCACCTGGTAATATGGACATGAAAGCTTTTCTTCTACAGAAATTCAGCTCCGTGGAGCAGAAACAGGTATACAATTGCCAATGCGACCTTGAAGATATATTTGCTGATGTCTTACCTATTAGATAGTGTGACATAGTCAGTGATGGCTGGTTGATTTAAGCTGACACTTGAATCCTTGTTCCAAGTCTACTCAGACAACCATGTCTAGTTGCTTTCTGGTCCATCCACTGCAGCCTCCCTGTATAAGCCATAAAGTTGACAACACAGTCACATGTTTAGAATTATGTTGATTGTGTCCCTGTGTTTGTTTTACTAGTTTCAGATCCTGTGAGAATAATCTACTAGAAATTCGATCTACTCAATTAGAGGGTTTGTCTAGATGCAAAGATGGCAGGTTGACATAATTGCCAAACTATTCACAGATTTGATTGCGAATGCCACACAAATGCTCAACCCCAAAAACACAACACTCATTGCTAACTTGATTGTATTTATGGATTTTTATTTTGGACAGATCGATGCGGCGTTAGAACAAGGAGTTGAGGCAGTGAGGTCGTTGGTGCTCAACGGATTCAGCAGCAACATCACAAGATTTAATATGGGGCAGAAGTACAAGTATCACAAAGTATGACCAATGGGATGCCAAAAGATCAATTTTCTTGTAGTTTCCCATGTTACTTGTGCGATGTAGATGATGTGTAACTATTTAATTGCTCTAGTGGCGCATCAAATATTTTTTCTTTGATAAATTTTTTAATTCATTTCCTATGTATTATTAACATATAGTGTTGAGGCTTTTGGAGATTATTATTATTATTATTTTTGGGGGGGTTTCACCTTGCCAACTGCCCTGCTCCTGTTCAAGTACAAACCATTGTTTTAAAAACCAGACCGGATCGGCCGGTCCAACCGGTTGGATCAAGACCCGGTCACATGTCTGGTTCGAGTCAACCATAAGCCCAGTATTGCGCAATAACTCGCTTTAACTCGTCAATGGACCGCATGAACAGTGTAAACCTCCGGTCCAATCGAGCCGCTAGAAAAATCGGTCCAATGCTAAAAAGTGGCAAAAAGCCCTAATTTCTCACTTTCTCGGTTTCTCCTTTCTCTACGCGCAAAATGTTTTGAAAAAAAATTAATAAAATCGCGAAAATATGAAATCCCACACAAATCAAAACTCAATCTCAATGAAATCGCAACCATTCTTTGCTGAAATCACAACCATTCCTTGTTGAAATCAATCACAACTCAACTCTCTGAAATTGCGAAGATGCCTTCCTCCCTCGTCGGAAATTGAGGACGATAGCTCCATTCTTTGTTAGAAATCGACGATGACGAAAGGTCCATTCCTGGAGTTGTGATTAATTGAGTAGTTTTCCAGTTGCATCCAAGTTTCAATAACCCTACAAGAGTGGTTGAATCACCTCCATTTGAATTAACAGAATGCGGTTGGGGTGAATTTGAAATTGGCATCACCCTTTTCTTCCACAGTGATGTTTGTGATAAGCAGTTGGATTTGTGAGGAGTTGTTTGTTTGTTACTGCTTGGTTTACTCGACAAGGCAGCCTAATCACTGGTGGGTTCAATTTTCACAGGTTTCACCATCTGAAGTTGTATCCTGAATCTGAATCTGAATCTGGTCCCCAGACAACCAAAAAACCTGTTGTTGTGGAAACTTATAATGAGATTGTTTTCCCTGAACCTTTTGAGGGCTTCTTTGCTCGTGTGTTTGATCATCCTGCTGTAATCGTGCCTCGACTGCCAGCTGGTTTTCACATGCCTACTATCAGTAAAGTTCCTTACTTTTTTTTTTTTCCCTCAGATTTTTGCCCATTATGATATCTATGAGGTTATCTTTGGTGTTTAAATTTCTGCAACACCACTTTATATTATGAATGAGTAGGGGAAAGGTGAAACCAAGAATCATCCTCTTAGCCAGTGGTACTTGAATTTCTCTGAGGCAGATGAGCTTTTGAAACTTGCCGCAGCTCGTCAGCAGGTTAGATGGGCTGCTAATTTACTTGATTGAACTCTTCAGAGTTGTTGATTATATTTATTGTGGCAGTCATACTAGTTATTGCCAATGTGTGCTGTTTGTTTTTTTAAGGAGATTTGAAATAGTATCTACTTTTGATAAGACAATGGCATCTAAAAAACTAAAAGTTACCTATCATCTATGACTATTCGCAGTTATTGTAAATTGATAACTTCTGTTGTTTAGTATTGTCACTGTCATGTACCATCTTGGTTTCATGGTTCCTCCCTACCTCATCATAGTGGTTATTAATTGGATTTATTCTGGAGGCTATAAGCATTGATTCACCTTACTGATGTTTTGTGGCATTTCTGCTTGTCACTTTCTTTGAGAGTTAGAAGAAAAAGAGGCAGAAAGAGAGAAAGGAGAGAAAAATGATTGTTTTTGGATTAAAGAGTTCATAATCCAACGGTTTGATTAGTGAAAGTTTTTGTGTAGATGATTTATCGTACATCTTCATTTAGGGTGATTTATATTTTATCATAAACTAGATTTTAAGGTGAAATGTTCTAGAACCAAGTGTAATAATATTATATATATATTAACAGACTTAAGAAAGGCATACTAAATTGTTGACGATGAAGAGGAGGTCAGTGAACTTAATTATGAGAACTTTGAACAAATGTTATATGGAGAATGATATATTCCTGTCGGAGTTCTGATCACCCTTCTTTTTATGATTCAACTGATGGTTCAAAATGTTGGTTTTAAATATTTAAGCAACTTATTATCTATTTTAAATTAAATTACAAATTTTAATTTATGATTTCTATTTTTTACTGAAATTTACGTAGATGATGGTGATGGTTATGATGATGATGATGAATTTTGATGCTAGTGTGTGAAGTTCAATCAACATGGACACGGATCAAAGAAAAAACACTTGCACCAAATGTTTTGTTATTAATTATTATGTATTTTGTAATTTAATATGTAATGGATGAAGTGATGAACACAACATCATGTTTGGAATTTGGATTTGGATTTTGGATTGTTGTTAAATACTTAAATTATGTTGGGATTGTTATTGAATTTGAACTTTGAATCATATTGGGCAGTAATTAAGTTGTTATTGTCTTATTAAAAAATGAAAATCTTAAAAATAAAAAAAACAAGTTTTTTATGTGCTGACATCATCATGCTGATGTGATGATGTCACCAGTCCAATCGATGGTCCAACCAGTTGGACCAGTTGACCCGTGACCCAGGGAGCATAACGGGTTGCCCTCCGGTCTGGGTTTTAAAACAATGGTACAAACATAAATTAAAGAGTAAACGACTTTTTCCCACCCAAGGTTTTCCTTAATGACATTTTCCACCCAAAAAATTTCAAAATGCTATTTTTTCACCCAAAGTTTATATTCCGTTACTATCTAAAGCTGATTGTGGTGGTCAAAATTTTCTCTATCACCATCATTTGAACCTTCAGCTCGTCTTTATAAAACTCTTCTCATTTTAACACTTGATTTTTCATCGATTGTCAATCATCGCAAAATTAGGATTTCTTGTTCTTAGTTGATTTTTGACTGATTTCGACAGCGAATATTCAATCAGTCACCACCATTCAAACCATCGGTCTCTACTCTACAAAACCCTTTTCACCCGGGCTCCTGGTAACCCATTGAACGTCGACAGAGAAAGTGAAGTGTATTTTAAGTATTAACGGAATATAAACTTTTTGTGGGAAAGTTGTATATTGAAACTTTAAAGGTAGAAAAGTGTCATTAAGGAAAACCTTAGACGGGAAAAAGCCGTTTACTCTAGATTGAACTGAGTTTTATTTAATTATATATTAAATCAATCAAGAAAATGGGTTTTATTTAATTTTACTTAAAATTCATTAACTTCGAAGTACTTAATGCTCTTATCAATCTCAAACTAATAAATACATGAAAATACTGTTTTTTAAACCCATGTAATGATGAACAAATCATTGATCAGATCAATCAATATTAAGTGTAATTAGATCTCAAATTAAAGACTAAACAAAATGATTAACATGAAATGGGCGAGCCTAATTTCAAGCCATTTGGAGAAACTAAACTTGACCGTCTGTTTCTCAAAGCCAATACAGAAAAAAGGTCCTTTACAAAACGACATAAATCCCCTGCATGCGCTCCTATATTAAGGAACCATCCTCCACTTTCCCACCAAACCCATCATTAAAGTCCAACAAAATCGACGGTCGGTATAGAATCCTATGTGATTCAAACGAATCTAAATCCCTTTCATGATTTTCAAAACGGACCCACCTCAATAAGAACGTTATGTCGCCAAATAAAAGTAAACAGAAAGTAAAAAACAAATCCCTCTTTTTATTTGACCGTTGGAAACCTAAAAAAATTAATATTTTAATAAAAGTACACAAAGGCCCAAGAGAGAATCTACAAAAGAAATTAATTTCTTCTCAATTTCAAGAAACAGAGCTAATCTTGATCGACAAAAATGGCAGAGACTAACGGCTCTCTGCAACAAAACAACCCCACTCTTCATTCTCTTGTTCATTCACTTGACCCCATGTCGCTTCTTCTCTCTCAAAACTCTGATCCTCAAATCCCACCGGTTTCTCTGAAACTTATTACCGAGAGTTATTTCATGGAGAGAGGACCCAGATACGAAGAATACGCGGAACTGAGAGAGTTGAAGTTGAGAAGAAAGAGACAACAAGAAGAAAGTTATGAAGTTTGTGAGCCAAAGCCATCGCCTTTAAAGAAACAAGTGAGGTTTCAAACGAATTTGACTGGTTCAAGAAAAGGGTCCTCTGTTTCGAATGTTTTGGCTCAGTCAGTGCCTGATTTTTCTGCGACTTTACGGAAGGAGAATCGGAAGCCGGTGACGGGGACACTTGAGTTTACTCCTCCGTCAAAGAATTGGTCAAGAATGAATGGGAATTTGTCGAATTCACGAGGGAGTAAGTCGGCAAATGCAGGGGAGAAGAAAGGAGTGATGGCGAGGAAGAGTTATGCGAGTATGGAAGAACTGAAGGGGTTGTCAATGGGGGTTTCGAAGGATATTTGTGGTGAAAATAGAGGGAGAAATGGTAGAGCCAGGACTGTTCTGGGTGCTAGTAGACAGTTTTCAATGTTTGGCTAAGTTGCTCTGTTTGCTCATCATCTTCTACAGTTTTCTTCTTCTTTTTTTTTTTTTTTTTTGAAGTTCTAATGGTGTTGATTTGATTTGTAATGGTGGGCTTGATCACCGGGTCAAATTTTTTTTTTTTTTTTTAAATATTTTTTTGATAGATTGTAAAGTTCTGATTATGATATGATATAATCATGTTTACATGTGATTATAATATAATGAAGACCTATTTTCAATTTGCAATTTACTTGTATTTTTCCTGATATTGTTTGATATTATAAACATGAAGACGAAATGATTAATGCTTTAATAAAAAATCAGAAGGTAGAAGTGAAAGACATAATCATGCTTGACAGCCCAAACGATTGTTTTGTTAGTCAAATTGAAAAGATTTTCATCACCATTCAGTCATTCACCACCAATGGAAAGACTATTCAGAGCTCTTTGGCTACTTTGAAGTTACATCAAATGATCAAAAGAAAAGCATATGCATACATAAAATGCTCTCTACAAATCCAATTAGCCCTTGTTAATGAACACCATCCCATCCATTTGTACAAAAAATACCATCTTCCTAACAAAAGTAACTCACAAAACAGAGGGGCTTCATGAAATTCAGAAGTGTTTGCACTCCCAGATGTCTATCACAATCTCCTCAACCAAAATTTGGAGTATGTCCAAGCCAATTTCAGCACCGGTTTCAAATGCTTCTATATTAGAGTCTGTCCATTTCCCCAAGGAATGACTCATCTCGCATTCTATTATCTCGTCAGGAGTCATACCAGCCAAATGAGTCCACCTTATAACCTCCTCCCCAACCTCTCGAATCAGCATCTCTGCTTTCATACGTAAAGGCAATCTCATCCAAGCTTTGAAACCGGAGTTACAGTGCCGACTATATTTTACGTCAAAACATTCTATCACACAGTCAAAAAGAAATCCTCTAAGCTGAGCACCCTCTTTTGTCTCTTCAAACCCAAGAAGGCAATTAAAATTTGGCCACATAGCAGTAGCAAGAACTTCAAGTTCATCAAATACAAATGGAGATACAAGAAAGTCTCTCACTCCACCAGAATTTAGAAGACTCGTGTTTCCAAACAACAGCTCAGCATTCAAGATAACATCCTTTGCATAAGTTAGCTTGCTTCCTGTTAATCCTAGACCAGCATAATTGATACTATGCAGCAATCTAGAAATTTGGTTCATGAGTTCAATCACCATTTGATTACCAGCCCTTCCTTTGCTTAATGAGGTTGCAGAATCCAGAAGGTCTGTATCAGGTTCTGTTGGACGCAACTGATCTTGGGAGTAATCCATGGAATCAACATGCAGCCTATGTCCTGGAATCACAACCAAAAGTTTTAGATATAATTTATAATAAAAGAGAGAAAGAGAAGAAAAAATGAAAAAAGAAGAATAAGTTCATGGCAGTTTGCAAAAAATGAGAGTCAAGAACTAAGGCAATCCACAGAAAGGTATGACTAAGTTCCTTCATTCAACATTTTTTAAGTAAAATATGATACAATTTTTTTTTTTTTTCTGACAAGTAAATTCAAGTTATTTACCTGAGCTATCATCTAGGCTACTGGAGAAGCAGCTGTCATTCGAAAATGAAGCTTCAAGAACAGAACCAGGACTAAGATGATCACCATCACATGCAAATCCAAACAACGTATCCTTTGTCTGAGAAGTACAGAAGAAACAATACTTGTCAGGAACAACTGTTTTCACTGGCAACACTCGGCCATAATACAAATTATTAAAATATTATAAAATCAACCAAAGTAAACAAATTAATATCCATGTATTCTAACAAGGTCATCAAATAATTCGGGAGTATGAGTTTATGCAGCTGGAAATGCGTAGAACAGATTCACTTCAGTAATTTTATCAAGTTATTGGGCAAGAACACATCTTATGACCATAAACTTATTATAGATTTTCATAAAGTGTGAATTGGCTAGTATGTAAGTTATAAACATTTTAGACCTCTCACATCACTCCCATATCATGATGAAATCTATTAAATGAAGAAAAAGCTTTAATGCTGCAAGCCAATGATGAAAGTATGATCACTATTGAGTTGACATGATTTATCTTGGAAATACCCCACTCTTATCAATATAGCACTAAAACTACCCTGGCAAGGTTATTATGCCTCTGAAACTTTCAATCATCCATTATTTAATCAATGATTGTCAAAATTATTCAGAAAATGAAGACAGAAAACAACAAAGGCATCAGAAAAAACATATCAAATTCAAAAATAATAATTATCAGAGTCTCATAGGCAATTCAGCCACCAACAATGATTTGAGTTAATGTTGCACCAAGTCGCAAAAACGAGTATGCCAGTGATGAGAGAACCAACCTGGAAAGCTACATCTGTATCAGATACATGACCTTCCCGAGGGATAGGCTGGTCTGCAGTCAAAGCCGATATAAGCTCTTGAAGAATCATAGCAGTGGACCTCTTAGGTGAGGAACCTGCTGTTATCAATTCATCCTCTTGTGAAGTCAATTCCTTCAATTTTTCCTCTAGCAGGGCACCTAAAGCATCTCCTCTCAATGGCCATTGCTTTTGCAGAGACAAGCCATCATTTTCATCCACTTTCTTTCGCCAGCATGCATTCCTACTGCCAAAGTCATTTTCATCCTTGATTTGCTCTTTCACCTCAGCGGAAATTCCTTTCTTGTGTCTAATTGGAGAATTAAATGTAAAAGAAATAACATCACTTTCCTTATTTCCATTGGGTCTACTACCATCCCTGTGCCTGGCTGCTCTATTTTTGGCAGAACTCTGATCCACGGAACATGCGTTTTGACCTATCTCTTTTCCATTCCCCACATCGCACCTAACATTTCTTTGTTTTCCTAGCATGGAATTGACAGAGGCAGTACTTTCAACCTGTCCATTTACACCAACAGTCCTCCTCTTCCGTACCGGGGTCCTTAACTGTGATAAAGAGTTATCTTGCTGGTTAAAAGATTTTCTCTCTGCTTCAGAAGTAGAATTCTCTAGTTTGGCAGGAACCCTAGCCCGGGTGCGACCACTTAAACTTCGGTTTAAAGCAACAAAATCTTTGGCCCCCGAAACAGTATTTACAGGTGAAGAGACTCTCTTGCTTTGCAGATTACTCAGTTTGGCCCTTGACGGGATCCTATCTCCATCCAAGGACATCCGATTTTGGTTTTGAGTCTTTTGCTTTAAATTAAATGAAGATGGTTCCTCTTTCTGAGGCTTGCGCTGCTGACTAGTCAAATGCCACTGAACTTGGCCTTCCTGCAATGGAGGCTTCCTATCTGGACTGCGTGTCCTAACTGATCGCATATTGCACTTATCCTTTTCTACAGCACCCAGAGACATAGGTTGGTCACATTGCTGAAAATTGGCAACTCTTTCTCTGTCAATGGATGACATGGGTAGCTTTGATTTACTCTTTCCAGATCCCGGAGAAGAGATATTGACTAAATTTGAATCAGGGGATGAATAAACAAAAGGTTGTTCTTCCACATTTGGTTGGCAGTCCACAACATCAAGGAAATTACCACAATTTCTACAAGAAGTATGTGCCATCAAAGATTTACCTGCGCTTACATTATAACCAGATTGTTTTGAAAATTCCGGAGACATACCCCCCATTCTTGCCTCTGTAAAAACCTCATTCGTGACAGCATAATGAGTCGAACTTGAATAAGTAAGTGCAGATTTTGCTCTATTAGTAGCTTGCAGACCAGGCTCCAAAATTTTAGTAGCAGCATCAATCAATCTAGAGGTCCTTGACACATTCCTTGCAGAGGAAACCCTGGGACTCTTCACAGGAGAAGCAAATTTGGACTGGTGCTTTCTTGATCGAGACAAAACACTCTTAATTTGCAATGCCTCAGCTCCAAACCTAGTCACTGCCCGTCTCTCAGACTGCCCAGTCTTTTGTATCTTCTGAGGCCTAGATTCAATCCTTGCACCACCTTTCTCCGAACTTGAATCTTCCCTGTTAGATCCACTATGTTCATTCACAAACTTCTCTTCTCTAACATCACAAGAACCCGAAAAGGAAGGTTTCTTGGGCTTATCCTTTTGTAGAGTAGGCATAGATTCAAGACCCATCAGCCTAGCAACCAAACTCGGAGCTTTCATCTCATGCTTGGTCTCTAAATCAACACTACTACTACGGTTACCACTTTTCTTCACATTAGGGAAGCCCCCACTGTTCTCATCAGCAATCTATCATTCACAAAGATAACAAAAACATCCACCAATTATTTCCAAAGCAAAAACAAGAAACACAATTCAGGAAAAGTAAACAAATATATCACCAAGTGAAGCTTGGTTTTGGGCATCTTCTCATCCCCTCCAAACTTATTTGAAACTTGTTTTGCTCGAGCTGTTTAAAAACAATGCAGCAACAATCATCAAAAACCAAACTTTCCTCACAAAATGAGAACTTTAATAAACAACAATGCAGTAAGAATTATCAAAATTCAAACTTTCTTCAAAAAGTGAGAACTTTAAAAACAAACATACATAAATACAAACACTAACCTGGAGGGAGTAATTTTCTAGAGAAGAGCTTCTTCTTAGCAAATCTACGGTTCCAATCAAAGAGTTGAAAGAAAATACCTACACAACCTCCAGGTCTATGCGCCCGCTTCTCTGTTATCGCCAAACAAGGCGCCGTTTTCCCTGTGTTTTCATTCATCTCTCTCACTGATAAACTAACAACAAAATGTAAACGAAACCTAGCCCAAAAAACCTCCACAAACTCTACTCAAACAAATCCCACCACATTACAAAACCCCAAACCAAGCTCTCCACATTACAAAATCCCCATCTATCCTGCTAAAAATCAAGCTCAGAAGAGCTTAGAATACGCGATGAAAGTAAGAGAAATAATAAAAATGAATAAAAAAGGCCGTACAAAAACGCAATGAGTGAAAATTTTTCCCGAAAGAAACAACAACAAAACAGTGTAGGTCAGGGAAGAAACGACAGCACAGAGAGAGCAAAACGACAAGAATGTAACAGAAGGAGCAGGAACAGAATGCAGAGCGTGTAATGTAAGTATC